AAATGTGTTCAGTGAATATCTGGGCAGAGATTCTGAGGTGGACTATGTCAGCCAGTGGATTCTGGGGAGATTTTATCATGCTTGGTGGCGAGATCGGCAGTAATTCAGAGCTGTTGAACCATTAAAACCTCTTGAATAGGACCCTCGGAGCATGCTTCACAGCGGGGACCCTGGGACGGTGTGTGGTGGCTGTCCTACGTCCCAGGGTGCAGAGGCATTTGGGAGGCTGGGTATGGGTGGCTTCCTCCAGAAACAGTTAGAAAAAAAAAAAAAAGATAATGTGGAAATAGTGGTCTTACCTACCTTCCTGTAGCCCTTGACCCTTTTCACCCTAATCAACTATGTATAAATCATCAAAAATAAAAATAATAGGCTTTAAAAATGTGTTCAAGAGGTACAGAGAAAAAGTTCCCTTTGCTGGGTCACCCCCTAAATCCCACAGTGGTTGGCCTGGGCCAAGTTTCATCTGGAAGTGGGCACTTAATCTGAGTCTCCTGTGTAATGTAGGTACCCAACCACCTGAGCCATCCACTGCTGCCTTCCGAGGTCTGCAAGGTTAGGAAACGAGTTGGGAACTAAGCTGTGGCTGAAATCCAGCACGTCTGATGGGCATCGCCCCAGTTAGGTTTTTAAATGGCAGTTCTCCTGGTGCCCATATTTGTACTTGACACAGTCAGGATATTTGTTAAGCAAAGGGATGAAGTAATTTTCCTTCACTGCTTGAAGGCATTCAGTTCTTGTTTTCCTGCTTAGATATGATGACTCTCAGAAATTTATTGAGTCTTCTATTCCTGGTGTTTTGAAATTTTGTGTTACTGGCCAGGTCTTTGTGTTTTTGTCCATTTGTTCAGGCTTGCTTCTTTTGGAAAGTTTCTGCCATTTTCCCTACTGTTCTCTTTCCCATGGTTTTGTTTCTTCTGTTTCTGGAACACCAGACCAGTTAGGCAGAGGTTGGTGCCCCTAATGTTCCTGTCTCTCAGAGCTCCTGTATTACTTCCTACTCTGCCATGCACCCACACCACAGACTAGGTGACAGAATAGCAGCAGTTGGTTCTCACGTGGCCGTGGAGACCAGCGGACTTGCGGAGGTGTCAGAGGAGAATCTGCTCTTTGTGGCAGCTGGCCACAGGCAGCCCTCAGTGTGTGACTGCATGGCTGTGGTGTGGGCTCGTGTGGTTACAGTATCTTCTCTTTCAGCTAGGTTATCTCCTTCTTATAAGGACAGTTGAGATTGCATTTAGGGACAACCCAACTAATCATGGCTAATGCTCTCATTGCAAGTCTCTTAATTCAATCCTGTCTGTTACCACGTGGGATAAGCTCACTCTTTTGCTCCTATAAAGTGATAGTCATAGGTGTGAAGATTGGGATATAGACATATTGTTTGGCAGAGAGCGAAAGAGTGAGAGTATGTGTAATCTACACCTCCCCCCTGCCAAAAAAAAAAAAAAAGAAAAGTTTCTAAACCTTTAGACTTTTTCCTGTTCTAGAGAGCAGTCCTCCAGTATTCAGGAGGAAATGGAAATGGAAATTTTCTGTCTCTTAAATAGATTTTCTACTGATTCCCTGTTTTTCAAGTCCATCCTCACTCATATTTTTAGGGGCACCCCCAGTTGATATTAATGAAACTCGAGTGAGTTTGGCCCTTCTGGGTTTCCCCACCACTGGCTTAGGTTTTAGCTCTTCTGGTCTCTGAGCTAGTCTCTGAGACAGCTGTAGCCTTCCCATTTTCTTTTCTTTATTTTTTTTGTACACCTAACTTCTATTTTTATAATTGAAGATTACTGCCTTTATAAACTCATTTTGTTGTTATCTTAATATTTTGGGGGGACAGAGTAGAAGTAAACATGTATATGTAACATCCTGTTAGGATTCATGCATTATTTTTTCAATGAAAACTGCATAGATGTTTAATGCTGTGCATTAACACTAGAAATATAGAGGAAAGAAAAATTCTTTTGAGACATTTGACCTTGAGAGGAGCATTGCCCAGGCTCACTGAGGGGTGTAAATTAGGACCCATTCGTGGGGAGGAGGGAAGGTTTTGTCATTGGACCAGTTTCAATTTCTGTCAGTTGCTTTGACAGATTTAGTAGAATTGTTATAGGTTTAGTTTTGTGTTTTTAAAGATGCCAAAGAGTGTAACAAACTTACTCTAACATTTAAAAAATGATTTATTTGAAAAGCAGAGTGGCAGAGAGGAAGAGACAGAGAGAGGTCTTCCTTATGATGGTTCCCAAATGGCTGCTGTGGCCAGGGCTGGGCCAGGCGCCTGAAATTCCATCCAGGTCTCACATTGGTGGCAGGGACCCCTGTCCTTAGGCTGTCTTCTACTGCTTTTCTGGGTTCATTAGCAGGGAGCTGTTAGGCCCGGCGTGATAGCTTAGTGGCTATATCCTCACCTTACATGCCTGGGATCCCACATTGGGGCTGGTTCATGTCCTGACTGCCCCACTTCCCATCCAGCTCCCTGCTTGTGGCCTGGGAATGCAGTGGAGGACGGCCCAAAGCCTTGGGACCCTGCACCTGTGTGGGAGTTTCAGAAGAAGCTCCTGGTTTTGGATTGGCTCAGCTCCGGTTGTTGTGGCCGTTTGGGGGAATGAACCAGCAGATGGGAGATCTTTCTCTTTGTCTCCTCTTCTCTCTATAAATCTGCCTTTCCAATAAAAATAAATTTTTAAGAAAAAAAGTTGAGCTGCCAAGGTTTTCAGTGTGCTGCACCATAATGCTAACTCCTTATTCTAACATTTATGTGAAAGAGAGGCAACAGCCATACAGTTTCTTTTGTTTTTAGCTTTATTTTTATTGGAAAGTCAGATATACAGAGAGAAGAGACAGAGGAAAATCTTTTTTCCACTCACCCACTCCCCAAGTAGCTGCAATGGCCAGAGCTGAGGCAGTCTGAAGCCAAGGGCCAAGAGCTTCTTGCAGGTCTCCCACATGGGTGCAGGGTCCCAAGGCTTTGGGACATCCTCGACTGCTTCCTAGGCTGGATGGGAAGTGGAACAGCCAGAGCATGAACTGGCACCCATATGGATCCCAGCTTGTGCAAGGTAAGGACTTTAGCCACTAGGCTGCTGCGCTGGGCCCAAGTTTTGGAAGCAGAAGTAATGAATTTGAGGTGGGATTATTCTTATTGGCCACTGAAATGTGATCAACTTGAAGCCACTGGAACAGTGGTCAGACACACAGATATCAGAAAGCACAGATAAGTGGAAAGGGCAGACTGGACAGGAGTGGACGCTTCTCTGCCAAAGAGCTGAACTCCAGGGCTCGGGAATAGGTGAAGAGAATCAGTCAGGACCCTGGTGGTGAAAACAGATTCATGGCTCATAGTGGTTGCTTCAGGCCATGTGAAAGGCATATTTTTGCCTTGAGTTTTATTATAAAAAGAAATCAAGTTATCTAAAAGAAAAAACACAAGAATTTAAAAGTAAATATTTTCCACCTCTAGTGAAAAATAGGATTTTTGTATTTAGAAAGAAGCCACGGGGAGGTTCCTGGCTCCTGGCTTCATGGACACCGTTTGTGGAATAAATCTTCCAGGGAATGGAAGACCTGTCTCTGACTCCATCTCTCTATTGTTTTCTGCCTCTCAAAAAAATGTTTTTTTAAATTACAAAGGATAAAACAGATTTGGATAAAAGAATAAATGATATACAAAATTAATCCAAACACCAACTTATAGTTGCCACTTCATATTTCTTTAGCTTGTGATATCTTTCAGTTGGATCAAAAAGATTTATCACCTTCCTATATTTAAAAAAAATAATGGCATGCATATCCAGTTAATTTAATAAAATAATGTATTGGTGAAAAAGTCAGTCTAATGCAGATAAATGAGAAATGCAAGGAGAAGTAGGGAGAAAAGAGAGTGGGAAGAATCAACGTCTCCTGTTCCCAGTCCCTTTTGTATTTCCTCACGTGGCAGGAATGGTAAGTGAAGGCTGTCTCAGTTCAGCTCGTGGAGCCACTGTGGGCTGAAAACCAGCGGCTAACCAAGGGGAGGCAGTGAGCACCCCAGAAGGAAGGGGGAGTTATCATGGAAGCTGCTTATGGTCCGCAGCACAAGTGATCACAAAAAGCAAACCTGACCTCAGCTGACCTCCTCTTGTGCAAGTGTACCCCATATCTGAGAGACCCCTCCCCCAGCGGTTTCCCAGATAGACCCAGTGCCCCTGCTGAGAAATGGCAGATCAAAAGCAGGGCAAGGGAAGCAGTAAGAGCAGCTCTGTAGGTGAGGCCAAGGAGCTGGCAGGTAAGAGGTGCCTCTGCAGGGATGGTCCCTCCCGAGTCCCCGTGCCCATAGTGAGACTTGGGGCAGGTGTTTAGATCCACCAGCCTCCGTTTCCCTGTCTGTAAATTGAAGGTACAGGTGGTACCTCCTGTTATGGCGGGGTCCTGGTGAAGGTGTATGGGGCAGTGCAGGAAGGCCCAGGGCCTGTGTAAGCGGTAGTGGCTGTTTCTGAGTAAGTTCCAGGTAGAGAGCGGGGATCCCAACATGAACAGGAAGGAATGGGGGCCAGTGCGAGGCAAGGGAAGTCGAGAGGCAAAGAGGAGAAAGAGGAGAGCCCAGGGATGTGTCTGGGGAGCTCAAACAGGGAGAATGGACTCTAGGTACTGGGGTTTTACAAAGATACTGGACAGCCCCAAATCCATCCACTAGGCACCTACCATGTGTTCTGGGCTGAACTGATGGCTACAGGCACAAACAGAGGGTGCCCATGTGTGGACACAAGATGAGTGAAGGGTGGTATTTAGGGTAGAGAGAGATGGGGGTCCCAGTGGGCAACAGGGGAGAACTACGGGGGCTGGCAGGTGCTAAGCCAGACAGAAGAAGGGCAGTTTAGGGTTGTAGATGATTAAGGGAAACTGACAAAATCAGGTGGCAAGACCTAATAGGGGGCAGGGAAGGGCTTGGAGGGAAGGGGCAAGAGTGTGTGAGTATGAGTACACCAGGGGCCAGCAAAGCCTGGAGCTGCCAGGGCAGCTGGACTCACCAGGAGTGGTGATGAGCAAGGTCCCTGGGATGGACTGCCACACTTGCCAGCCGTGTGTCCGTGTGTTCAGCCCCACTCGGCAGAAGTACTTGGACTGGTCCTTGCGCTGCAGGTTAGAGATCCTGAGGGAGCCATTCTTCTGCCCCGGTGTCCAGTTCAGGGAGAGCCTGTTGCTGTAGTTCTTGTGTGTGAAGCTCTCAGTGTGTTGGTAGATAAACTCCCCATGGAAGTTGCCTTTTCTCCAGCTTATATTCGTGTGAGGATTCTCAGCCAATTCCCAGGGATACCAGAAGGAGAAAGGGATTTCAACGGAGCCACCAATGGGCGCTGAGAGGTGTTCTGGTTGGGAGACTCCAAAGGAAGTGGATCCAGCTGAGTTCTCTAAAAAATGTGGCAGAGAGGAGACACTGAAGTGGCTGTCAGACACACAACCCATGGCCTTCTGGTACTGTCTCCCATGGGCAGCATTGCCCTCTGCCCTGGTGTGCCCTCTGGCCTGGTGGGCCGGCTACAGGCATGCAGGGAGGAGGAGGGAAGGAGAAGAGCTGGCGTGGAACTATTCAGGCAGCTGCACTGTGCCCCTCCTCCCGCAGACCCTCTCCAGGAGCCAGGACCCTCCTGTGGTTGGCGCAGAGTCCTCAGGACAGACCCAGCTACTCACCTTTTTGAAGGAGCCCTGGCAGTGGCGCTGGCAGCAGCAGCAGCAGCAGCAGGCCCAGCAGGGACTGCAGTAGGACCGTGGCCATGGCTGACACTCCAGCCACAGATGAGGACAGCAGGGTGACAGGCAGGGCAGTGTGCTTAGAGCACACACGGAGTCGAGCATGGGATCACTGGGTGCAACCCACGGCCTTACACTCCCATGCAGGGACGCCTGTGCTCACTTCTTAATTCCGGCTGCTTTTCCTGTCTTGCACAAGGGCCTGCGTTGTGGCCAGGGCTGAGCCAGCCGTGTCCCAGGGTGTCCAGCCCCATCTGATGTTGAGGCCTGAGGCTAAGCTTGGCGGACTGGGACCGCCTTCTCTTACTTCAACTGCTGCCTGGTTCACTTCCTCTGTGTGGCCTGGCTGTCTTGCTCTGTGAGCTCTTGTCATTTGGTCTGTCTCCTTCCTTCTGCCCTCCCCCACCTCAGCTGCCTGTCCTTCCTGGTTGTTGGAATGTCTCAGTGTCTGTCTCCCTCTCACCCCTGGACCAGTGCAGTTCTGGGGAAGGTCCCTGCCCTGCTGTGCCCTCAGATTTGGCTCTTTGGATGAGGAGGAGATGTAGGGTGGGGTCCTCATGACAGAGGTGTCCAGCTTGATTGTCCTCCTCCTTTGTCCACAAAGAAAGCTATGCTGAATGGTATTCAGTGGCACTGGGGTTCAGGGCCAGGCTGCAGCCCCAATGAATGAAGAGCAACGTCCTCAGGGAGATCCAGGCTCCGAGCAATTCTTCCTAGACCAGAAGACCCACATGCAGTGGTCTGACTGGAGCCTTACCTCTGTCCCCCAACCGCCACTAGAGGTTTTGCCCCTGCTGCCTGGTGGTCATTGGGCCTGCATTGTCAGTGATTTGGGGGGACAGTAACCCAGAAAGCTGCATGTCCATAAGGTCTCTGTGAGCTTCCCTGCCCAGTGGTGAGTCTGTTCGACGTTGTGGAGCCTTCTTTGGACAGAGCCATGTCTGTGGGATCCTTGCTTGTGGATGACACAGAGAACCTGTGGTTGCTGATGGGTGAGGGCTGAGGGCCTTGGTGCCACACAGGGCTGGCGTGCAGGAGGCTCTGCCCACCCCGACCCTGGATAGTGGGTTTGCTGAAGGGTTTATAGGGGCAGCAAGCCCAGTTTCACCAGCAAATGTTATGTCAGCTGTCTTGGGGTGAACTGTGCAGAGGCAGACTTCACTTTTCTGTTCTTTCCTCATCTTCTACCCATCGGGCCTTGCTCTGTGTTTGCTTCCCTCCCCACCTCGCCTAGGGATTCCTGCTGTCAAAGGACACAGGACACGTGAACTTGGACTTGACCCAGCAGCCTTACTTTCAGCATCACTGAACTGTAGTGGTAGGTGTGTTTTCCTCTGCGTCTTGCTCCTGGGGAGGTGGACACCTGGGGCCTCGGGGTGGATGTGTCCTAGCTGGGATGTTGGGCAGCATTCATTGGCCTGGCCTGTGCTGGCTGGGCCTGGAGAGGGCGGCTGCCTCTCCCACGGGTGGCCTTCATATTTCACTCTCCCATCTTGAGGAATGGGCCCCCATGACAGGTGATTCTAGGCCGCTTCTGCATGGTGCCTGTGCCTAGCAAACCCTGACCCCTCTGCTGTCATTTGTGGCCCCTCATAGCCACATCCCTCAGGCCAAGGACCCAGGATCCACCCTGGGTATCTGTCCCCGACATGTCACCTCAGCCCTGCTCACCTTCCCTTTGCCAGGTGTCAGCTTGAAGCCTTGGCTCTTTCACAGTAGGGAAAGGATGGGACATGGAACCAGGGCCTGCAGGCTCCTCACCTTCCCCATACTCCTGCTCCCTTCCCTCCGGGCCATGTGCATGCTGCCTCGCCTGGCAGCAGGAAGGAAGCATGGCTGTTGCCTGCTGTGTCCTCTGCGTGTGGTTCTTGGGGTATCATGGATGTGAAGAGTCCTGAGGGAAAGTAGTGAGTACTGACTTCCTAAGGCCTTGCAGTCACACTGTGTGCATTCTCTCGTTTAGTGAGGAAACCCTGAGGCGTCTGGCTGTGGTGGGAAGGGCTGGAGGGCAGTTGGTGTCTCAGGCGGCTTTCATGACTCTAACCAGCAAGGAGGTGGTTCAGCTGGGCTTGCAGTTCAGGATCTGGCATCAGCTTGGCATCTGTGGGAAGCTGGTACTGGTGGATAGGTGCAGAGCAGCAATACCCTGGTGGTCCAAGAAGCAGAGAGAAGCCAGTCTTACCTGATTGAAATAAGCACCCTCTGGTGGCACCACTGCCAGGGACCAGCCTGGGACACCCAGGGTCCTCCTAGGAGTGCCCCTCAACATCCTCAATATTAGACCAAAGGTTGAATCCACCCCGAGGTGTTGGTTCATTAACTGGAGACCTGGGCAGGACAGTCCTGCTGAGTCCATGAGGAGACAGGGAAGTGAGCAGTTTGAGGAGAGACGTGGGAAGAATGGCTCTGTTGGTGCCATGATGAAGTCCCAGCTCTGCCGCCCACCACAGCCCCTGCTGCTCTGCTCACGGGTGAAACTTTGGGTGTTTGGCCCCAGCTAACCTGGAAGGAACATTCACTGCCCCTTCTGGTCAGCTTCCCACCCTGTATTTCCCTTTCCCCACATTTTGTACCTGGCCCCTTTTTCTGTTAAGGAGTTTTTCATGGATTAGAGTGTCTCAGGTTCATGGTGGATGGTCTGATAATTACTACAGAACATTCTTAGATTCTCTCTCATGTTACCCAGCCCCTCTTGTCTGTGGTAAACAGTGGTTTCCAGCCTCAAAGTGTGCGAGAAAATGCAGTAGTGCTGGGCTGGTGGACTGCGTCCTACCCTGGGCTCAGTCAGCCCTTGCTATCCCCTCTAGAACAAGGTAGCTTTTACCACTTTGATTTCAAAATGTTCATTTTCCACAAAGAAATGTGCTAGAGTTTTGATCAGGAATGTTGTATTTATTCAGTCATTTGAAAGGCAAGGCAGGGTTTAAGGAGGTAGAGAGCACACGCTCTCATTGGCTGGTTCAGTGCCCAGTGCTGAGGTAGCCAGGGCTGAGCCAGAACAAAGCCAGGCTCCAGGAACTCTGCTGTTCCTTCCTTTGCATGGCAGGACTCACTGCCTTGAGCCATGCATCACCTGCCCCTCCCACTGTGTGTGTCACCAGGAGGCTGGATCAGGATTGGATGCAGGATTTGAACCCAGGGACTTGGGCTTATTAACTATTCACTGAATGCCTGCCCTGGACTCAGGGTCCTCTGAAGTGGGTATCAGCCTGGAGAAGTGATCCCTCAGTGCATCTGTGGCTCCCTGGGCCTTGGTGACTGTGTCTCTGTGGACTTGGAGGGTCTCTCAGGAACATTCTGCACAGAGCTTGGTCCTCCCTAAGACGTCCCTGGGCACTGAGGCGGCCTCCATGGGCCTGGCCACGCCTGCTGCCTCAGGAATCTGCTGAAGCGCCTCATCTTTTCCTTTGACTTCTCTGATGCGCACAGTTCATTGTCTTTTTTTTTTAAGATTTATTTTTATTATTTTTTTATTGGAAAGGCGGATATACAGAGAGGAGAGTCAGAGAGGAAGATCTTCCGTCCGATGATTCACTCCCCAAGTGAGCGCAACGGGCCGATACTATGCCGATCCGAAGCCAGGAGCCTCTTCCAGGTCTCCCACGCGGGTGCAGGGTCCCAAGGCTTTGGGCCGTCCTCGACTGCTTTCCCAGGCCACAGGCAGGGAGCTGGAAGGGAAGCAGGGCTGCCGGGATTAGAACCATATGGGATCCTGGCACGTTCAAGGCAAGGACTTTAGCTGCTAGGCCACGCTGCCGGGTCCCACAGTTCATTGTCTTAAGAGATTTGTCTTGCTGAAGGGAGCAGTGGGTGAGAGAAAAAGGAGCAGGTCAGGGGTGCTTGAAGAAAGCCCTTGGAGCATCACTTCCTTCTCACACGCCGAGTGGGCTAACGCCGCCCGGGCTTGCTCATGTGCTTCAGTGAGGAGACCTGCTGAAGTACTGGACACCATAATGCTGGGTAGACCTGGGATGGCTAACAGAGTTTGGGGATTTGTGCATTTTGGCCTGAGGCAGGCGGTCACTGAAGCAAAGTTGTGGAGCAGTCTTGGGTGTGCTTGGGTATTGCAGTTGCTTTTCATGGGAGAGACTCAAGGCAACACCATTTCTTCCTTAGACACAATAAGGCAAGTCTTCTGGGTGTTTACTTGGTGGGTGAGGGCCAGGGAGTTGAGACAAGAGGAGGAGGGACAGCTGTTTGCTCGGTTTCTCTGGGGCCTCCAATACCTGCTTGGCAGTCATCTTCCTGAGGCCTTGGTTACCTGTGGGAGCTGTGATCTGGTCCTAGGGAAGCATGAAGGTGGAGAGATGAGCAGGGGGCTCCAGCACTGAGGCTCCCTGCTAGGTGAGGGTCACATGGGAGGGTTGGCGTGAGGCCCAGTGTTGAAGGAGACCCAGATAGGGTAGGAGGTGTTTGGGGAAGTGGGAAGGGCTGAGGGCAGACACTGGGCTGGCTGGGCCAGGCCTTACCTTGATTCCCAGTGTTCTCATGTTTCTCCTCTGTGTGCTGTGGAGGTTTCCTGCATGGCATTAAGAGAGTGGGGAATCTACTAGAGGACAGGGCCTGGCTGTCCTTGCAGGGTGTCCTGCAGCCTGCCCTGGCCTCTCAGGGTGAGTGTGGTGGTTTGAGGTCCTCTGGAGGAGGCCACCTGTGGGGTGGCCCAGCAGAGGTCCCCCATGCTCACTGGAGGTGGATAATTCCGGAGAAGCTGCTTGTACTGGGGAGAGTCAGGAGAAAGAGGCAGGGAGGCCAACCCCTTGTGCTTCTCGCTCTCTCACTCCCTCTTCTGTGTCTGTGGGTAGTGCCTGGCTAGGCTGGGAGAACAGAAGCAAGTCTGACTGCCAGGTGCACTGAGCAGGGCTCAGGCTGATCCCTGTGTGGCAAAAGGCTGGAGGAAGGAGAGCTGGGAAGGCAGGGAGAGGCTTCCAGTGAGAACACAGTGATGGCAGTGAGAGGGAAAAGGAGGAGAGAAGGAGGTGAGGAGGAGGAGCACTGAGGGTGGGCAGGAGGCAGAGACCACACATGCTGCTGAGCAGGACAGGCCCACGGGAGCCACAGACAGAGGGTGCATGGGACCCTGGGAAGTTACTTTGGGAAGAGGATGTCACGGGAGGAGAGCAGGAAAGAGGAAGGCAGGATCGAGGAGCGGCTGTGTCTGGGACGAGGTTCTAGGCAGAGGGAGCTGGCAGGATGGAGACTGAGGTCAGGTGTCCAGCGTGCTAGCGAGGGAGGAGGACAGAGCTGTGGAGTGGGCCTCCAGGAGGGCCGAGAAGTGCCTGGAGGGCTCCTTCCAAAGCCCTGCCCTTTCCCATCCCAGGACCCCCTGCCCATCCCAGGAGGTCCAGCACTCACCTGGCTGGAGTTTCGGCCTGGGTCTGCTGCCCTGTGGGAGGACCAAGAGCATGAGTGCCACCTGTGCGGGAGGTGAGGGTTATTCCACCTGGCTTCTCTGTGTCCTGCTCCCAGGCCGTGCCCATAGGGTCCAGGGCAGGAGGGGAGTGACCAGCAGCAGGCTCCAGGCCAAATAGGCATCTGCCCATGCACATCCTCTTTGTGGTCCTTACCCATTGCTTCCATTCCCTCTGAGTCTGTGTTTGAATTCAACAAAGGATCTGCCTTTTGCAGGAGTCTTTCACGTTTTGTCAGTGTCCCTATGTACCTGATCTTTGGTCTCGCTGATCTCTTGCCTCTTGAAAAGCTGCTTTTCTGCCTGGTCACCCTTCCACCTGTCCTACGCACTAGCTCCTCTCTGCCCCTTGGAGCTCGTTCACCTCCAACCCCAGTGGGTCCTGGGACAGGAAATGCTGTTTGCTAACGCCAAATACGTTGAAATCTCCCTGTTCAGTTATGGTTTTGTTGACAGTGGCAATGTGATCTCCACAGATGAGTAAGCTGCAAGTGGAAGTTGTGAGTAAAAACTGAGGAAGGTTCTGGAAAGGGGAACAGAGGGCTGTGGCACTGTCTTTGTCCTTGCTTTCATCCTGTAATCCAAAAACCTCTGGAGTCTCAGCTGCCACATTGGACAGGGGCAGGATGGGGACTTGCAGGTTGGTGATGTCTGCTTCTCGATCTGTTCAGAGTAGGAAGTAAAGAAACTGCTGTTGAAGCCACTGTTAGCGTCCCATGTCCTGATGGAAGCTGCAGTTTGTAAGCAACACAGATCCTGCAGTTTGTAACCTAGTGGTTGAAAACTGTGAGGAAACCCCAGTCCAGGACACGCCGCGTCTACAGGCGTGGGTTTCTCAGAGTGGAATCCACGAGCCCATTTCCTTGTGACTGTGTGAGCTTTCTCTTCAGTCCCTGCCCCTCCTTCCTCTCAGGACACACTGCGTTTTAGGCTCTGCAGAAGTTAAATGATTTCTATTATAGTTGGAGAGACTGGCATGTCTTATATTCTCACAAGGTTTCTTCTAGTGCTATGGTTAATTACTTCCTCACACATCTTTTTTTCTTACGGAGTTCATACTAGTGAAAATTCAGGAGAGAATATAGAGTTTTTTTTTTTTTCTCCTCAGTAAACCATCTCCTCTCATGGAATCACCTGTTTTTCCTTGTGGGCTAAGAATGCTACCTTGTAATTTCCCACAAGCATCTTGTGTGTTTTTATCTGGATTTATCTGGATTTCTCTCCTTCCTTCCTTGGGTTTATCTCTTCATTAGCATGTGACTATGGCATCATCAGTTTAGTGACTGCAGCTTACTCCTTGTGCGTGCTCATGGTCACAGTGCTTGCTCTGCAGGATCTAACTGTGCTGCCGTGGCCTTCAGAACCACCCCACCTGGGGTTGGGGCTGCTCATCTGTACCTGGCACCAAAGCTTCCCTGATGGGCAGTGACGCCAGGGTGCCTGCAGGTTGTCAGACGACAGTCTCTGCCCCTTTGTGCGTCAAGAGCTGATGGGACAGGAGATGCTTCAAAGTGGCCTGAGCCAGAGTTGAGATGGACACTGACTTCAGAGTCATTGCTTGAAAGTAATTTCAGGGCCTGGCGCGGTGGCGCAGTGGTTAAGGTCCTCGCCTTGCACGTCCGGGATCCCATATGGGCGCCGGTTCTATCCTGGCAGCCCCGCTTCCCTTCCAGCTCCCTGCCTGTGGCCTGGGAAAGCAGTCGAGGACGGCCCAAAGCTTTGGGACCCTGCACCCGCGTGGGAGACCCAGAAGAGGCTCCTGGCTTCGGACCGGCATAGCATCGGCTGTTGTGGTCATTTTGGGAGTGAATCATCGGACGGAAGATCTTCCTCTCTGTCTCTCCTTTCTGTATATCCGCCTTTCCAATAAAAAAAATAATGAAAATAAATCTTTAATAATAAAAAAAAGAAATTTCAGCCAGAGGAGGAGGATGTTGGGGCATGAACAGTGAATGCTGCAGCCCTGACCTCTCCTCTGAGCTGGAAGTACACACATCTGACTTTCTGGTGGACTCTGCTCAAAGTCAGGCCAACACCTCCAGTGTGAGGGGACCCAAGCTGGAGGTGGCGTCTGTGCCTTGGACACAGGGGCTTGCTTTGTTCCCTGTGTACTTTCCAGTTAGTCATTTTTTTTTCTCAGCCTCGTTCACCTGGGTTGGAATGTGGGACTCACCCCACTCCCTCATGGCCATGTCAGTCTAGTCATCACCCCCTTCTTGGGTTTACTGCTTCAGCTTTTCTAGGGCCTACCCTTCCCCCCGTGTGCCTGCCCACCTGTGGCCCCTCTGCTGCAGCCCAGCACCGTGTCCACAGCTGGAACTGGGGCTGCCCCTTTCCAGCTCTCTCTGTCTCTGGCCCTGGAAAGCTCTTAGGTGTGAGAGTCAGGAACTTCTCTCTCTGCTCCTGCGTTGCCTCCAGCCCTGGCACCCCTGCATTTCCAGGAGTGGGTCTGCTCCTGGAAGGCCAGTGAGTGGCCTCAGCAGCACCCTGCCTGCTGCCTGATCATTCTTCTGTTTGCTTGGAGTCCATTTACTTCCTATTTGTTCAGAATCCAGGGTGACTGAGATGCAAGGAGGCAGTGTTCCTTCCCATTGGTGAATTCCCATTTTCCCAGCTGTGTCAGGGCCAGGACAAAGGCAGTGTCTAGGAATCCAGGGAGGCTCCTCCACAGGGTGGCAGGAAGCTGTGTGCTGGGTCCATGACCTGCTGCCTTCCATGGCCTTGAACGCAGCCACAGCTGTGTGAGAGGTGGGCATCCTAAGAAGCATTGAACCACCACGATGCCAAATGACTACTGCTCACTTTCTGTTCTTTGAATTTTTGTCTTTGTCACTTCCTGTGGGAAGTCGTCCCAGGTTCCCACTCTTGCAACTGAAGCCCTTTACAAATGAGCTCTCTGACCCCAAGACCAAGTGTCCCTCCACCAGCTGAGTTCCCCAAGGCCTGTGCTGCATCTACTCTTGTATATTGGTGTGGAGCCAGGCCCTGGTTGGGGGCTTCACCCAGAGCTTGCTGAGCTGAGCTGGGCCAACTCTGTGTCCCTTCTGCTGTCACCTCACTTGTCCAGTGCGGGTCCCCACCAACTCCCAACCCCCACTCCTAACAGTGAACCAAAGGAGAGGATGGAGGAGAATGGAGGCAAGAGATACATGGCAAGTGGTGGGACTGTGTGGCAGGATGGGTGGTTCCCACTTGCATCTCCCACAACCCACACTTGAGGAGCCTGTGACAGATGTGGGTCCCCAAGCACAGGCCTCAGTGCCTGACTTAGTGGGATTGGGCCATCCTGACACGTGGTTGCAGGAGCTGCCCTGAGTGACTGTGGTGCTGGTGGGTCTGAGGAGCTTGTACTCGGCAGCGTGGGTGTGAGGGAGGGTGTGTGCCGGGCCACTCACCTTTCCTTTTCTTCCACATCATGAAGAGCAGCAGTCCCAGAGAGGCCGCTTTGACCAGAGCTGAGACCACTGCCAGCCCGACTGCTGATTCCAGACTCAGCAGCTGGGACTCTGGGTGCTGTCTGCCCTCCGTGACCCTGAGGGTGGCTGTAGTGGCTGTTATGGTTGTAGTGGTTGTGGTAGCTGTAGTGGTGGTCCTCCTTTTGGTTCTTTGAGTGGTAGTCTTGATGGCTTGGGAGAGATGAGAAATAAGCAGGTTATTAATGCACTGAGGGCATGTGTCTGGGTTTGGGGAGTCAGAGAGCTGCTATTCGTAGGTCCCATGAGTGGGCGGATACACAGGCTAGTGTTGAGGGTTTTGAACCTACATGCTAGACCAGCACTGTGGCATAGTATGTTAAGCCCCCATCTGTGGTGCTGGCATCCCATATGGGTGCCAGCCTGGTTCTATTCCCAGCTGTTTCGTATCCATCTGGTTCCCGTGCTAATGGCCTGGAAAGGTGGCAAGGGATGGCCCAAGTTCTTGGAACTCTGAAGCCAGGTAGGAGACTTAGGGGAGTCTCCTGGCTTCAGACCCAATCTGTTTTTGCCATCAGAGATAGAGCTAATGGATGGAAGATTTCTGTCTTCCTCTGTAGCAGCCTTTCAAACAAAAGTGAATCTCTTATAAAAAGAAAAGCCCTGCAAATGCTATGTTTGAATTGAATGACACCAGTCACCTTTAAACCCTTTACTGAGATGGACCTCGCTAGTGGAGCCTGGAGCTGCCAGGGCAGCTGGACTCACCAGGAGTGATGACAAGCGAGGTCCCTGGCATGGACTGCCACACTTGCCAGCCCTGTGTCCGTGTGTTCAGCCCCACTCGGCAGAAGTACTTGGACTGGTCCTTGCGCTGCAGGTTAGAGATCCTGAGGGAGCCATTCTTCTGCCCTGGTGTCCAGTTCAGGGAGAGCCTGTTGCTGTAGTTCGTGTGTGTGAAGCTCTCGGTGCGTTGGTAGATAAACTCCCCATGGAAGTCGCCTTTTCTCCACATTATATTCGTGTGAGGATTCTCAGCCAATTCCCAGGGATACCAGAAGGAGAAAGGGATTTCAACGGAGCCACCAATGGACGCTGAGAGGTATTCTGGTTGGGAGATTCCAAAGGAAGTGGGTCTAGCTGAGTTCTCTAGGGAAACGGGGCAGAGAGGAGACACTGAAGTGGCCATAGAATATCAGGAGGCCAACCCATGGCCTTCTGGTACTGTCTCCTGTGGGCAGCATTGCCCTGTGCCCTGGTGTGCCCTCTGGCCTGGTGGGCACGCTACAGGCTTGCAGGGAGGAGGAGGGAAGGAGAAGGGCTGGCATGGAGCTACCTAGGTGGCCCCTCCTCCCGCAGACCCTCTCCAGAGGCCAGGACCCTCCTGTGGTTGGCACAGAGCCCCCAGGACAGACCCAGCTACTCACCTTTTTGAAGGAGCCCTGGCAGTGGCGCTGGCAGCAGCAGCAGTAGCAGCAGGCCCAGCGGGGACTGCAGTAGGACCGTGGCCATGGCTGACACCCCAGCCACAGATGAGGACAGCAGGGTGACAAGCAGGGCAGTGTGCTTAGAGCACACACAGGGTGGAGTTGTGCGTGTTCTCCCTGCAACCCACAGCCTTACACCCCCATGCAGGGATGCCTGTGCTCACTTCTTAATTCTGGCTGCTTTTCCTGTCTTGCACAAGGTTCTGTGTTGTGGTCAAGGCTGAGCCAGCCGTGTCCCAGGGCGTCCAGCTCCATCTGGTACTGACTCCTGGGACCGAGCTTGGTGGGCTAGGACCGCTTTCACCCACCTCGGCCCCTGCCCAGCTCACTTCCTGCCCATGGCCTGGCTGTCTCTTGGTCTGTTTCCTTCTCCTTTCCTTTGCCCTCCCCCTCCTCACCTTCCTGTCCTCCCTGGTTCTTTAGTTCGGCATGCGGCTCCAACTTACCTCTGCTGAAGTTCACGGCCACAACTCAGGTTAAGGGAACATGTTGTGGGACACAGTGACAAAAGCTTATTACTGTGAAGCTCACAGGAATGCACAGCCCTGCCAGTCAGTGGACAAGGAGAGTTTGACGGCATGCACCTCGCCAGCAGGGCTGTACCTCCACACCGGTCCAGCCCGGCCAGGCCTGAGCAGGCTGACGTCCCAGGAAGCCCCCCCGGCCTGTCCTGCCGGCCCCAGAAGCGGCCTAGCGGCGTCTCCCCAGGGCAGGACAGAGCTGCCTACTGGTGCTCTGCAGGCCAGCGAGGAGCGTTTCTCCACCTTAAGATGAAAAACACACTGACGCTTATTCCCAGAATGCACTGGTGCCTCTCGGGGATCCAGATGTCACAGTTCACCTCCGGTGAGGTCAGCATCTTGCAGGAGGGGCAGGTCCACGCTCCCATCACCGACCAGTTCACAGGACACACCATGAACTGGGCTTATGCTCCAAGTGGTGACACGTGCACACTCACATGTACCTGGAAATTCTCCGACCGGTTTCCAGGTCTTAAGGTGAAAACTTCCAGTGAGTTTTGAATTAGTAAATGCACAGTGCTGACAGGCACCCTTTCCAATTATGAAGGCATTAAAACCGTCAAACCGAACCACCATCTACAACTTCAGAAAACAAACCATGATTTCATTAACATTTGTTTTGCAGAGAAAAACCTTTTTTGTACTACTAATCAATAAAAGTACTTTGACTTTTCCTCATTAACTCATTACATTTGAATGTATATTATGATGCGTACACGATTTGTTCTCGTCAACAGATAAAGATGCAAAAGCCCTTGGCATCTTCACTCTGAGATGTAAGTCTGTGGTGTAAGCCACCACCTTCCTGTGCTCATGGGCTCGATGTGGAATGGGCACAGACCCACGGCCTGGGCCTCAGCTAGGACGCACAAGAGTGGGGTGGGAACCGTCCATCCCGTTCCCATCAGGGGCCACTGCTGGCTGGAGGCAGCACATGCTCATGCCTTCGCAAACTAGAGCGACTGCACCAAGGGCTCAAGAAATTGGAAGTGGGAGCTGCCAATATAAAACCTCACAAACAGGACCAGCATCATTTCTACCATATTCCATTAGTCAAGCAATCACAGAGTTCACATTCAGGGGGAAGAGACCCTGGACCTAAGTGCTAATCAAACAATCTAAGCATTTGGGAAGCATTTACAGCTTCCTCTCTGTAAATCTTTCTGATATAAATCTTAAAAACAACAAACAGCTCGGGTCTGGCAAGATAGCTTAGTGGGTTAAAGTCCTCGCCTTGAACACGCCGGGAACTGGTTCTAGTCCCAGCAGCCCTGCTTCCCATCCAGCTCCCTGCTTGAGGCCTGGGAAAGCAGTCGAGGACGGCCCAAAGCCTTGGGACACTGCACCTGCAGGAAGAGTTCCTGGCTCCTGGCTTCGGATTAGCTCAGCTCCAGCCATTGCGGTCACTTGGGGAGTGAATCATCGGACGGAAGATCTTCCTCTGTCTCTCCTTTCTGTATATCCGCCTTTCCAATAAAAATAAGTTTTTTTTAAGATTTATTTTTATTATTTTTTCATTGGAAAGGCGGATATACAGAGAGGAAGATCTTCCGTCCGATGATTCACTCCCCAAGTGAGCGCAACGGGCCGATACTATGCCGATCCGAAGCCAGGAGCCTCTTCCAGGTCTCCCATGCGGGTGCAGGGTCCCAAGGCTTTGGGCCGTCCTCGACTGCTTTCCCAGGCCACAGGCAGGGAGCTGGAAGGGAAGCAGGGCTGCCGGGATTAGAACCAGCGCCCATATGGGATCCTGGCACGTGCAAGGCAAGGACCTTTAACCACTTGCGCCACTGCGCCGGGCCCTAAAAATAAATCTTAAAAAAAAAGATTTACAAGAAACAGAACAACAAAAGGCTCTACTCCCTGAAACTGTTCCACCTGAATTTAGGTTAGGGAGCCTGAATGGGTCATCTGCCTCCCAGGGCACTGACAGGACAGACTGACTGCCTTTAAAAAGGATTTACAGGGGGCAGACATGGCAGCAAGCTAATCCTCTGCCCTGTGGCATGGCATCCCACATGGGTTCTGGTTCAAGTCCTGGCTGCTCCCCTTCCCATCCAGTTCCCTGGTTGTGCCCTTGGAAAGCAGCGGAGGATGGCACAAGTTCACCTGGGAGACCCGGAACAAGCTCTCGGCCCTGGGCTTCAAATTGGCTCAGCTGCGACCATTTGGGGACTGAACCGGTGGATGGATGGAAGATCTCTCTGTAAAATCTTTCAAATAAAAATAATTTTTAAATAAAAAGGATGTGCTTTTCCATTTCTAGCTTTTACATGAGAGTGGATGAGAGGAAAGTGAGGAGAAGGGCAAAGAGAAAGGAAGGAGAAGTGGTTTGAGCTGAATGGTCTCCTCACAGGAAACATCTCCCTTCACCTCAGCCTGCCCGCCTGCCCCAGATCAGGTACGTGCGCGCGCACACACACACGCACACACACACACACACACACAATCAATCCCTAACTTACTGAGCAGCTCATCCCCGAGGCCTCGCACAGGTACCGGGGATACAGACACCTGGGCATGTGTAACAGGGGCGGGCAAGAACTGGCCTCCATCAGTAACAACCTCAGGCTGCAGGCTGGCAGATTCAAACATGTTTATTGAGCTACTCACCAGACCAAAAAAAAAAAAGCTTGGATATGTGATCTTCCAAAATCCAGGAAGACTTTGGGGCTCCCTCTGTTACCCCCACCCTCCCTCCAAACGGCAGCAGCAAGACAGGGTCTCCCTGCTCCCCCACCTCTCCCGGAGACTCGGCTGGCGGCCAGGGCCAGGCTGCAGGAGGCTCCCTGCTGTTTTGTCCTGTCTGCCTTTTCCAGGTGGCCACGTCCAGGTGGGCAGTGGAGATGGGAGGGTCCCGGAGTCAGAACTCCTGCGTGCGGGAGGAAAGGGAGGGAGACAGAAGTAGACCAAAGGGCAAACAGCACCAAGTCTCCCAGGGGGAGAGTCTGGCTTCCCTGCTCCTCTGGACTCCTGGAGCTCTTGCCTGTTCTTATTCCTGACAGGCCTGGGGGGCTTCCTGCCAGCACCTCCCAAGGACCCAGGACCCCTGATTTGGGGATACCCACCTCGAAGATCACCTCTGCAGTATCTAACAGGTCCATCCAGGCATCACTGGGGGGAGCGCGCCCAACTGGTGGCTAGAGAGAACGGGGTCAGTGTAGGATAGGTCTTTCCCACTGTTGGCACAGCACAGGGCGCAGTGCCTCGTCTAGCCTCTGCCGTGTACGTGCAAGGGCGGCAGCTGGGGCTGTAACAGCCGGGCAGGACAGTCAGTAGGTCCCGCTGGGCGCAGGGGCAGGGCCAGACTCCAGGCACCCTCAGGGAAGGGCTTCCACTCGTGACCGCCCAGCCCTGCCCGGGTAGGCTGGTCGGGAAGCAGGGAAAGGGGTTTGTCTGGAGGATTTAGGAAAGATCTACTAGAGGCACTGCTCTTCTGTTAGAGTTCTCCTGAACACAAGCCTCCATTCCTCGGCCTTATTCTGCTCCTCCTTCCTCAAAGAGCAGAGAACAAACATGTAGCTGGTTACAAACTGAATATCCATGTGCCCCCTCCAAATCCAATGCTGAAATTCCGACCCCCAGAGTGATGGTTGAGGTGGGGCCTTTGGAAGGCGACTGTCATGGCACAAGATTAATGCCCTTTTGAGAGAGGCCCTGGCGCCCCCATGCTGTCACTTGAGGTCAGTGAGACGTCAGCCTCATGCAGCTCAGAGGGGCCCTCCCCAGCACCCAGGGGTGCTTCCCCTGCTCTCAGAGCCCCATCCCACAGCTGTGAGAACGGCACTGCTGTAAGAGCCAGTCTGTGGTAGTCGGTATTTGGAAGCAGTGGAAGAAGGGAGGGAGGGAAGGAGCAGGAACGCTCCCTTACTGCTTCCGTCCTCAGAGAATGCCTGGTCTGAGTGGCCAGGGTGGCCAGGACCCCAGGAGCTGAGCCACCACTGCGGCCTCCCTGGGCACAGCGGGAAGCTACAGGGGAAGCAGAGACGCGGGACTCTAAGCCAAGCACGTGGGTGTGGACGACTGTGGGTGTCCCAGGCGGCATCGCCAAATGCCCACCCCAAATCTCCCTCTTAAAGAAATGGAGGATGAGAAGGGGTGACAACTAAAAATGTGGAGCTGGGGACTCCCTCAGGTCACCTCAGCCTGAATCCTTTCCCTGGTTCACCAGCAGCATCCCTCGTGGGGAAGCAGGGGCTGGGGCGGAACGGGAATGGGTGGAGGGACACAGACTGGGGGAGCCTCTCGGGAGCAGGGGAGGGGGCCGCAGGTCGGTGTGGTGACGAGCTGGCCCCTCCCCCTCAGCGGGTCCCGAGGCCTTTCTGAGGGCAGGAGGAACAGCACTGTTCTGACCCACTCGGATATTTTTCACTTAATAAAAGGACCAAGCAAAGGCCAAAGCATCTTCAGCCTTTTCCTCTTTCACCGTAATTTGGAGCCCAGGGCGTCCTCGGGACTGGGGACCCGCACGTCAGCCTCTGGTCTGCAGAGAGAAGGGCGTGTCGGC